AGGAAGAGGAGGAGGGAGAAGGTTTATCACCCTCGGACAGATACGCTTTTATGCGGAGAAGTTGAACGGTTGCTTTCGAAAATCTCCTCATTATCTCGAGAATTGCCCGTTTTCGATCGTCGCGGTTGAGAATATGGTGGAAATCGGGTAAAACGTAACTTCGTAACGCAAGTTTCCACGGCTGTTATTCCATCCACAGATGCGAAACATACACACGGCTCTTCCGGATCCAAGTAGGTCGTTTCTCACGGCCTGTTAACGCGCGAAGATAAACCGTTCGGATACTTGCCTCGAGGAAACGATTTTCTTAATCGCTTTTCCCGAATTCTGAAGATGACGATCATACTTCGCGATTGTCCAAGGATTTTCCGCGAATTTAATAAACGTATGGATACGTTTGCAAAGAAGTTGGATTCGAGTTGAAAGTCGGGGAGAAGGAGAGTGTAACGATTCTAATCCTTTAAGGAAGACAGGAAGGGGAGGAAAAAGGAAGGACATCGTGAATTTATTTCCAGGTGTTTACTAGTTTCCCGAAATTAAACTTTTCTTCGAAAGTTTTTCGAATGGAGAAGAAGGGTGAATTTGTGGAGAGGGAGAAAGTAATTTAAAAAATGAATATTTTCAATCGCTCTGCTCGATGTTTTTAATTTTTAGGGAAGTTTTAAGTTTTTGATGCATTTTTGGAATTTTTTTTTTTAATCCAGCCTGTTTATATATGTTTTTTTCCCATAAGACAAGGATAATTTTACGTCTAAGGTAAAAATATAAAAATTCGAAGTATAAAGATTGGATTGGATATATAAAACGGAAGAGAATCTCTTGAATTTTTCTAATATAAGGTTACGTTTAATATGGTAGTGAAGTTTTCTAAATTGTCAATAAATCGAATGTGCGATAAAATTTTAGATGAGTTGACAGATATTTTTCTCGACAGTATGATCTGCTGCAAAATATAGCGGCCATAAAAATTCTGGAACCTGCAAGTTTACAGCGCGAATATCGCATCTGTAATCTCCTTTCCAATGATAAGACTCGGATGGAAAGATGTTTGGAAAAACTACCCTGTCAAAAATTCCACCGAAATCATTCGTTTAATTTTAAAATCCAGAATAGTGTTCTTTTTTTTTTATAAAAAATTGTATTTCTATCACCAACTTATTTATCCTTAGAAAGAATAGAAGTAAAGAATCACAAATTTCAATGTGATCAAATTTTTCTGGAAGATTTCTGGAAGAAATTCAAAAGATCAAGAAATCGGTTCTCGTTGTAATCGTAATTCATCGTGCTTCTGCTCACTCGATAATTATGCAAAGGTTAGCACGGGAATCTTAGCGAAGAAGAGTCTTAGTCGGAAGAGTTATCGTCGCAACGACGCACTCTCAAACTCTTCGTTATGACGCGATGAGTCGACCATAATTGTTACTGTCCAAGTTAAGCGCCCTTACATCGAGATTGAGTCGAGGGGATGACGTTTAACCAGCCGCGTTTAAGTTAATGGAATCCTGTCCGAACTACAAATTATCCCCCTTAATCGAATGAGAGGAAAAAGTTATTTGTCTCGAGGATCGATTTCATCTCGAAACGCAATTTTCCCAGTCGAAATCATTTAAGATAGTTAAATTATAGTTAAAGTTCTACCCAAGTCGTCTTCCAAGTCGATCTTCTTACATTCTCGAATCCTTCTTCCAATTTATTTAGTTTGGTAATGGACAATTTTGCCATTTCTTATTGATAGGTCGCAAATTGCAATTCAAAGGAAATTCGAATAATAGTTTGAATTTGAAATGATCTCTTATGAGAGAGAAATTTTGAAAGATATTCCTAAATCTGAAAAATTAATATTAACTTTTTCAGCAAGAGACGGATTGTGAATTATTTTGAGTCGATTGGTTTTAAATTCTTTTAATTCTTGCAATCGTTAAAAATGCTTCTGACAAAATTAATATCATTACTATTCATTCAAATAAAAATTCGCTTTGAATTTAAAAACTCTCGCTATGGACAATTATCAAGAAAATGTTCTATCAAAATGGACATACCATTCAAACTAAACACATCGATTCGCGAGAAACACGATTTCACCTTTTGTAAAATTCGAAACCGCTTTTCACTTTTTCCCCTACATCCCTACTATTCTAATTTATTTTATTATCATTTAATATCGTCCTGGGATAATATGCACATGATTAGGGAGAAGGGTGAATTTAAACGAAATGAAGCGCAAAGCGAAAAAGTTATATTCGTTTCGAGGACCGAAAAGCTGGCGGACGCCTCGAGCAAAGAGCGCTCTCTATTCGAAAATCCGCTTTTGCAGGCCGCCCCGCGGGCTCTTCCTACGCTCACTTTCCCCTTTTTTCCCCTCCCTCCCGGTTCAGAAGGGCAACTTGACTCGGCCGCTCGCCGATAAACGGAACCCGATTCCTTGTTTTATTTGCCTTTATCGGCGCTCATATCCCTTGGACCGCCGAATTATTGGAAAAACCGATAATAACGAAACGCGCGATATCACCGTCAATGAACTGCAATTGCTTATTGCGGACGATTTTCGCGAGTTTGAATTTATGTTGTATACCCAAAAGGGGTATATACGTATCGAATACGATTACGAATTAAAATATCTCTTTTAAGATTTTTATTTATTTTGCGTATTAAGATATCGTTAATTGAATTTTATACCGATAAATATATTTTTTGTATTACGAAATCGTGGATAAAAAAGAAGAAAGGAAATATTTTCATTCGTAAAATGTATAATTCTTTCTTTTAGAATCCCTTGTTATTTTTATTAATAATAATAATTGTAACAATGATGAAAATAAATGGAAACAGTTGAACGGTTTTTTGTTCGAGTAATAATGTAATAAATTTTTATATTAAATTCAAGCTTAACGTGCTTCTATCGGCTGATCATTCACGGGTCATACTACTGTGCTGGAATGGAGCACCCTCCTGTGTAAAAAGTGCCATTCACACATGAAAGAACTCGAAGTGGAGTCGATCAGCGATGTCAATGCGAATAAATCGTGAATTGCATTGAAAATTTCTTCTATTTAATTAATTGCACGTATCGAATTATTTTTATGCAATTGAAATACTTTCTAATATTGTAATATTTTATTATGTTTTTTTTTTTTCGTTTCAGAAATTCAGATAATTAATGAAATCACTAGAGTTGAAAGAGATTTAAATAAAATAAAAAATATTATCAATCCCTGTGTGACTAATACTCAATTAATCGAATCAATTAACCATTTACTTCGATTAAATTTTATATCAAATAAATCAAATTTTATAGAAAATTTCCCTCGATACGAGATCACTTACCTTTCAAACGAAATAATTCAATAATCAATCTATAATTACCATATATTCTTATATATATATATATTGTACACAAAATATTAAATTTAAACATACAATTAATATTCACTACGATACACAAACAACATAAAATTACCAAATTTTTACTACTACTAAACTTACTTACAAAATTTAATTATAACAAGTGGAAAAAATTACGAGATATTTAAACATAACTACGATTGAAACCCAATCTCGCTCTAATTTCTCCAAAAGGAATATTCAAATTACCCAATCATCACATTTAATCCAACAATTCACATTTCATCCAAAATACAACTAACAATCGAAACCCTTCTATCTTACCATAACTAAAAAAGAAAAAAAGAATCTCTCTTAAAAATTACTTACCCAATTTATTATTGACCAACGTTTCATTTGTCAATAATCTCAACGAAGAATACGAACGTTTCGATTTTTGATAAACTATTCCCTCAACATCCTGGGAAGAACGAAACGAGAGAGAAAAGAATCCGGGCGAGACGGGGCTTTCGCATCGATCGTCGAGCGACTTTGTATCGTTGGCCAAGTGACGATCGAAATTTTCAACCGGCTTAATCGAATCACCGACGTCCCCCTCCCCCCACGAGCCGGGAATCGGCAATCGGATTTTATCGGGCATTTGTCGGGCCAACGTTCACCAGAAGCAATTTTCCGTGGCGTAAAAACTATGTATCCGAGGTTGGGAAGGGGATGGATAGTGTCCACGGGTTTTTTTTACGGTCACGGGCCGTGGTAATTGTTTTTTTATTGACCGTCCAACCTCTCGCCAAGTCGATGGCGCGTCGAGTCTCCTCCTCGGTTTCGAGCCCCCTGCATAAAAGCGTCGGCGGGAAATGCGGGGTAACCGATTGGCTGAGAACGTTCATTCCGCGGACAGTTCGTTGCACGCTTGGTTCGTTGATTTTTGGTAACGTTCCTGCCGCAAATTAGCCGTGAAAATCGAACCCCTTTGATGTTCCAATCGAAAGATACATGCGCCGCGGTTTACCTTTTATCGCCTTAATTTCTTTTGAGACTATAACCATTCGTTTCCACGCGGATCATCCTTTCTCGATCACAGGGATGTAAGCGACTCGACGAGTGTTTCGTTAATAACTCTCTGTTACGCGTGGATATTTTGCTTCTTGTTCGGACAGTTAGATCTATCGAAATGTTGAAATTGAACTGATCTTATTATCTGAATCTAGAGCGATTCGATAGGGGAAGGATTTATTTTCGTGCAAAGGATCAAATTTATTTCTCTAAATTATTCTGTCCCAATGAACTGGTTAAATTGAATAATTAATGAGGAAGAATAATAATAATTTTCTTAGAATTGAAAATGTTCCATGGTAATTTGAAGTTAATTAGAGCGCGATAAAGGGAAGAGGGAGAGGAAATTTAGAGTAAGAGCATTGAAAAAAAAACTTCTAATTTTGAATAAAAATTAGATATTATAAATAACTATTGTCGTGCCTTCGAATAAGAACCAATAAGAAAATAAATAAATTTCACACATGCATAAAATTTCATTAAATCTACTTGTTAATTCTCACGTTATAACAAAAAAAAAAATAAATAAAATAAAATATTTTCAATCCCTCAACGTATCACAATATAATATAATCTCAAGACACTTTAATCATATAAAAATTAAAACAAATGCACGAAAAGAGACGAGCTCAAAAATAAAAATACGTTACGTATGGAATAATATGGGAAAATCGATCGATAAAAATATCATTCTATCTTTTTAATCATAGATGAATTTCCCTGCGGCGGATGAAACGGAAAAAAAAAAAAAAAAAAAAAAGGGAACTGAAGCCACGTTAAGGGAATATATCTATATCTATAATTAGAGATTATACGGAATACATAGTGGCCGTAATTATCTCGAACAGGCAAACATCTCACCTGGGGTTTCTCCGCTGGCGAGCGTAAAAATGAACGGGGGAGGGGAGGGAAGGGGAGAAAAAGCTACCAATGACCTCGTTTCGCTGGCCACTCTCGTATCACCCTCTTTATCCCCCTTCGCATGCGTTTATTTACATAGCTTATTTCGTTGAAGTTTTATCTGCTCCGTGTCACTCCGTGTCCGGTTTTATTACGCCAGGAATTTTCATTGAACGGCCGTAACCTGGAACGAAAATGGAAATTGATTAATCAGAAGGATGTCGAGGTAATCCTCAAAGTCTGATGATGAAAATGGACTCGCGGTTTCGTGAAATAGCCCTCCCCCTGATACCACTCGAAATTCACATCATCTGACGATGCTCAAAGTGTTTCTCCTCTCTTTAGAAATTTGTGTTACGAATCACGAATTTCGAATCGAGATCGAAGTGAAACTTGTTTAAAAATCAACAGGAAGGAGAGTATATTTTAAATTATTTATAAATTCTAAATATAATAATTTACATTGTATTGTATTCTTTTTCTTTTTCAGAACCACATTTAGATCGAAAGGATTTATCCGAGAATAATCTTGAGAAGCAATTACCGTTAAGTAAAGATTAATAGCTTTGAAGGAAGGGTGAAACAATCTTATCTTATCGTGAAATAATTCGATAGTAGAAAATAATAATTAGAAGCTCAAAATTGGACGTAAATTCAACGAGCCCATCAAACGCTTCTCCACAATTAAAATATAAACACGTCGAATTTGGCAGAAAAATCGAAAACGCGTTTACCTTCGAAATCCCTCCAATATCATAATCATCTCTATCCGTCCGAATATATCACAACCGCCGCCAATATCGATATCCGAATTACCACTAAAATTCTCTGATTTCCAATCGAACCAATAACAAACCAATAACACCGAATTTCCGCCTCGATCGACGCCCCGTATTCGAAAACAAAGGATGCGAGGCCGATGAATGACGAATCTACCAACAAAATCGCGAAAATCCATCCCCCTGTATTCGTCGAATCGAACGCAAAATTCGCGAAAATTCCTCCTCCAGATCCGATTATAATTATGCTAAATAATTCCATAGCTAAGTCATACACCGCGTTATTTCAATGATCAGGAGGGCGCGGCGTATCAAATCGATAATAAATTTCCTTGCAATGTTAATTAAAAATCACCCCCTTATGCATCTGGGTCGCGGCTCGAATAATTGAATTCCGATCGATTCAT